GGGGAAGAATGAGACATCGTTTCCCGTGCAATCACTATCCTCCAATGCTCTATCTCGTCAGGTTCTTCCATTATGTAGAGTACACCTTTGCTGAAAACTGGTTATATTCCCTGAATGGGTTCGTCTTTTGAGCCACTCTTTCTACCTTTCAATATATTCTTATGGTTGTGTTCCAAAATACGTCATCTAATTGAATAAACGTTGTCATCAAGTGATGGACGCACATTGGATAACTGTTGTAGCTATTGAATCCCTCATACTTCTGTTACGATCGATGCATCACGGAGTAACTTGTACAGGTGATTGCTCACATTTTGAAATTCATCTATATACTTCCTGCATGTGTGGACGTTTTCGAATCTGATTCAACGGATCCCAACAAAATTGCTCCATCTCCAAGGTTTGTGATCGATGTTACCTTCTTTAGCCTCCGATTGACAGGAGAGGAATTTTTTCATTTCTGTTTTAGTTCATAAGGGAAGCAAGGAAACATGCATTCCAGACTATGCCACCAATTTTTTCACTGAGTTTTGTGCTATATTCCACTGATTCTCGGATGCGTTCCGTCATTTGCAATTATCCGTGTGCATCGTCGATGGAAATCCGAATACTAGTAACTCTCTCTCGTTTGAAGCTGAACTAGAACGTGATGTGCGTTCTCCTGATCCGTGCACAGTTGCAGAAACGCTTCCTCCGTACTTCAATCTTACTCGATATGTTGTTTCGGATTTAGTTCCACAAATCGAAATTAAGTGAACTTTCGATTGTGATTGTTACCAGCCCTGTGTTGATGCAGTCTCTTTTGAACACGAACTTAAAAATTGATGACTCAATAATCAAATATAAGGTTGCTGACCAATCATTGTTGGCTATCATAGCATATCATACTCATATATAAGTGCAGGGCGGTGGTGGACGGTGGTAACGTCACCAAATTATCACCGCGGAGGACGTGTTCGAATCCCACCACCACCGCCTGACTTTCCCCATGTGTGTTGTATGGCAGACATTCGATTGGCCGCTTCCCCTCCCTGAAAATTGTATCATTGTGTATCCAATAAAAGGATGTAAAAAATAAATAAATAAAAAAGAATAAAAAAAGTCGACATTGAAACAGAACTCCAAGTTGTACCTGTTTCTGCATTTGGTACTTCAAGGGAAATAAAACGCTTTAATTGCAACAAATGAGAAAATGACCGGTTTTACACTGAACGGAAAACAGACTTACCTAAACCCAACGAAGGGAAACCGATTCCTATTGGGAAACAATATTATTCAAAGCATGTAGAGGGATTGAGACACTTTCCTTACTGGTAAATGTCATCTTTCGTTGGCTCATTTACAATTTATAACAACCTGGGATCGTTTTCCTATTTTCATTTTTTTTGAATATGCAAGAATAAAATCTTCGAAAGGACAGGCGTCCAATCAAGGGGCTGCACCACAACACGTGATCGGAAATGTCAGATGGGATTTAAAAGCACCCCCTCCCGGGTGATATCTTGGGGAAGTTATCACTAGACCACCACTGCACAATAATGCGTTGGTTCCTAAGAAAATTACTATCCACATTTACAATGGATATTCAGTTTATTCTCCATTGGCTCTGTTACATCACCCGCCTGTTAAGAATACGTACGGATGTAGTTTTATCATTTGCATGCACGTTAGTTCTAATTATTGCACGTAAACGTGGATTTTGGCCATTAATTTGAGCAGTACGACTAGTTCTTCGGAGTGATTTGTGAAAATAACACCCCCCCCATCGGACACTAAGTAAGATCGATGTGATTTCTGAGGATCAGTTTATGACTTTCAACGAGGCATAAACGAGAGACCAGTATGTCACATGAGCTACCGTTTTAATCCGGCAAGAGTACCAAAACGTGGAAGAATACACAACCCCGATAAAAACATTCTAGGGCCAATCTCACAATCCTGTTCGATCAATGCTACTTATATCATTAAGGTGTATGAGCCGTTCTCATAAATGGAACGTGTTGCTTCAACTGTCAATTAAATGAAACATGATGTAGCTTTCTACAGTTGAAAGCTGATTGACGGGAAATAAGCTGTGTCTTTCAGAAGGAGAATTTAAGGTAGCATTCAAATGGTATAATTATCCCGTCTATTGCATACGAACAGTTAAATTTATTTCGTGGGAATATACTTGCAACCGATGTAAACATTGGTTGCTTAAATTACTCAGTTTCATCTTCTTTCATATACTGATCTGGGATTTTCAACAAGATGCATGGAATGGTTGTAGTTCTCTTCCATGCAAGTTAATCAGATTTCAGTCAAGCATGCTGAAATGTTTGCATTATCAGATATGTTACCGACTTTGAGGTGATACGTCTAACAAGCTATGTTGCTTCAAATGAAAAATCGAAGTGACTAAAAGCCGTCAACCCTAATTAACCTAAATGCATTACACTCCTAAAGACATCTATTTCGTTTGTGAGCGAATTTCATCGCCATATGGGTTCTTGTAGTTAATATGTACCCCATACAGTACTTCATTGGTCCAAGCAGTCTTTCTGTACTTGCCATGCGTAAGTATATAATTGAAGAAACAAGAGTTCAGTACACATCGTTATTGTTACTTTTATTTTCCTTATATTGAATACAAGCATCGCAATGAAAACAAAACAAAAACCAAACCAAATTGACTCACTCGTCGAAACAACCACGTTGCGCGTGACTGCAAGGAGGACCAAACACAAAGCCAGGGGAAGTTGCATGTTTGACTTGTTCCACACAAACTTATGCTTTCCTGACAGAACTCAAACGCTTTTATACACTAGGTCCGGTTAGCGCACGTGAACGCACAGTGGTTTTAGGCTAATAAGACAACAAGAAAGTAATTCCGCATCAAGGTCAATGTTTTTCTGAACAAGCAGACTAAAGCATTGATCAATAACATTCAGTTTATAATACGTGCAAAGATAAACGGCATTGAAATGAAGGCGAACATATCCAAATCACTGCATAGTAGAGCTTCCGCGAGCACCACAACAAAGAAACAAATCATTCCTCGCTAAAATAAGGTCGGGAAACTTATGCTATTTGCACAACCGTATGGTAATTTCTCTCTCTGTGCTTAAGCAACTTTTAATTGAAAATTCATCCGCAGGTTAATCGCATGTAAAGAAATACTAATTGAAACTCTCTATTCTGGAAGAAAAAGAGTCGGTTTGCTTGGAGAATCCTAATTCAAAGCTAACCTTTCAGTTTGGTAGAACGTGCTGAAGGAGAACGTTTTTTCAATCATGGCCGGTTCCACAGATCAAATCATTATCCAGGCGATTGTTACTACTTGGTTAACATGATGTGACATCACTAAGTATGAAATTGCTTATTTCAAGCTATAATGCTTTTAGCATTATACTTAGTACGGAGAGCAGTTATGATACTCTAAGTAAATGCTCTGGATTCATTGAAAACCAATTAGTATGCATTTAGAACACGAGCTGTTGGTGGTATTAGTAAAATTTGATTAAACTGTGAGTGCTAATCAGTGATTAATACGGTTGAGAGAAGCTTAGCGAAAGTGGATCGGGGACATTATTCAGAGCTATCCTGATACACGAGCCACCACAAAGTTCGTGAAGAGGCATTTATAGTATTTCGCCAAATATCTCCCCGAGTGATGGATCATCCTATGCCTGTTTTCCTAAACTAGAAATAGCTGGCCATAATCATACGAGGCAATTTGATCAAAACTTCTAGGTTCTACTACGGTTGAGAAAAACTCCTATGATCCACATTAGCAAAACAAAAGAAATAATGAAAATGATTTGCGTGATATGAGTTGTATGACATTTGTGCCTGGATGTCCTCATCTCATTCGCGGTGGAATGCTATCGTGATCAACTAACCCGCTCAGTCACACGAAAACCAAAATAACGATAATAATGTCGTACGCATTCCTCACATTCTGATCATTATATCTTTAATATTTTATCAACGTGATGAGAAAAGATCAGAAACAATGTCCCACCAAAACTCCTATTGTTGATGCTACCACAGGGTAAATTTGCATGGTAAATGAAAGTATATCTTGATTCAGTTTTGATTTTCTGCTCGGAGCAAGAAACGAAAGCGTGCCGGGTGGCAGTCTGCGCTTGCAAACATTCCTCTCGTGATGATGACGGTTCCATCAATAATCAGTTCCACTGTTTAGTAAACTGGCCGAACTCACGGATCTACTTACTCATCGCGTGCACACAAACACTTATGTGATATGCATACGAGAATCATGGCCCAACGATAAAATAGACGATTCACTAGTCAACACACCTGGTTTTGCAAGTTTTCGACAAGGCAGAGAAATAAGCAAAATGAAGTCCGGAGGTGGTGTAATAACCTACATTAACTCTAGTTGTTGCGGCAAGTCCGAGACGTTGCTTGTTTTCTCGTCTTATGGTGCGACTGCCTTACTGTTTCATGTCGACCTAGGTTTTTCCCTTATCGGAGCACAATTATTACAAATCCATACATTGCTCCTTCTTGCTCACAAACTGAGATTATTTTTTTCTACGATGCATTTATTCCTTTCATTGCTCCCTTAGAGGAGGATAAGTTAATTTCAATTGTCGGCTATTTTAATCACGGATCAACCCAACCTTTTCTTTCTTTTGGTCTGTCAAATCTCTCTTTAACGCCCATCAGAGGAAATGCTATTTTGGACAAGCTTATTACTAATTACTCTAATATCTTCTCTATCAAACTGAAGGTGCCAATTTCGTCTAGTGAACACGGTCTCCTGTCTTACACCAAACGTTTACTCTTAGTTAGCATAATTTTCTGTAATGTTCAATGTTCAATGTTCTTCAATTAGAGGTAGAGGGTAATTTCCCGTATGATCCTCATCACCACAGACTCAAAGATCTCATTCATGATAGATCTGCATACCACATTGTTCGCAGGACGCTGTCGAGCTTCCTCTTGAACATCTTATCATTGACCTCTTGCACCACGTCAGCTGGAAGGGAGTTCCAAAGGTTGGTTACCCTTCGCGATAGCCGGAACCGAAGAGGTAATCCTACGGACGAAAGCTTCAACAGCGTAAGTCCATGTCCACGAGTCCTGGTCTGCTCGCGCAGAGGGAAATACTCCATCAACTCTGGACCCATGTCACCGCGGAGAATGCGTGGCACACAGATGATATCACCCCGTACTCGGCGATAGGACTCCGGAAACAATCCAGTCGCATGCAATCGTTCGGTGTAGCAACACCCGCGTAACCCGGCAATCATACGGGTGGCAACTCGTTGGACTCTCTCCAGCTTCACCATTTCAGCAGTTGTATAGGGATATATTCAAACAAAACAGATGAACATAAAAATTCGGAACTTTTCAGCCGACAGACTCCTCCTCAGAAAAGCTCTTGCTATTATCTCGTCATGGTTTTCCATTCAACAATCCCCTTCTTCTGTTAACTATTTTTCAGGAACAGCTAACGCGATTTTAATCTATGCTGTCCTATGGAGACAGTTTTTGTTCACACTGGCAGAATATGCTCTCCACGGCTAAACGCTCTTAGAAGACGAAATGAACTAGTGTTCAAGATACATCAAACAGCAACCGTCAAACAACTTTCACCGCAAATCAGGACATAGATCAAAAGACTGAATACTTCATTCGCAAAGCAAGTTCTCGGAACTGGAGCTGGAAGACGGCTATGGCAAAGGATCAAATTACTTTTCGGACAGAAGAAACGGACAGCGAACAAAATTATGGACGTGGACAGCCTCAGTGCCGCATTAATTTATCCTTCGAAGAATCTCCTGTCTCCACACCCCACAGATCACCTATCTGCCATCGACCCAGAGACCCATGAGGAGGTCTATCATCTTCTTAAAACTACGAAAACCGCGAACGCAGTTGGCCTCCATAATTTGTCTTAGGGATTGCTCAAATAGGGTGCTGGCTCAGTCACAGAAATGTTTACATTCCTTATTAACCAATCGATTTAAACATATGCGATTCCAGATTCCTGAAGACCGTTCACCATTGTTCCCGTTCCTAAATTCTCTTCGTCTGGCATTTTATCTGAACGCTTTAGTCCTATCGTCATCTTCTCCTCTGGAATTAAACTTACAGAGCGCGCTATTCTCACCCTCTTGCAATCTGGTATTATTGTTCCCAATGACTCCCTCTAGTTTGTGTACAAGCCAAATAGATGCACTTTGGATACCGTCTCTTCAGTGGTACACTTTATTTGCAAATCCTTAGTTCTCAAAAGTCTGTTCTTTGATTTTTCCTTGACTATTCCTCGGCTTTTGATTCACTTCCACGACATTCGGTTACCCCACCAATTTGTTGTCATGGTTAAAAGATTATTCCACAAGAAGGACTAAAAGGAAGAAATGAAATAGCACTACTTCGAAACCGTTAGTGAATAATTCTGGAGTCCTTCAGGGTGCTGTGCTCTCTCCCTATCTAATTTCGACTTTCATCAGTGACTTACCCTCCATCCCACTTGTAAAGACATTCAAGTATGCTGATGATGTGGTTGTATGTCAGGTCATCTCAAACCAATCGGACATAGAGTCATTTTCCGACAATTTGTTACACGTGCAATTATTTTCGAAACAATCCGGTCTTCTACTGAATACTTCTAAACGCTTTGAATGCATTTTTAGCCTTTCCCGTTTCGAACATTCCCTGGATCCCTCAGTCATCAATTTCTTACCCATCACCAGTACATATGCCACGAAATACCTTGGAGTTACCATAGACAGCAATCTTCGGTGGTTCTCACGTGTGCTTGCTTGAGTTGGTAGGCTGCGTCGCTTACCTTTTCAAATATGCAAGTTAAGACAATTTCACGTCAGACATGAAACTGTATGTTTCTTTGTTTATCAATGCATTTTTCCTATCATACTTTATTGTTCGCCCATTACTATTTCTGGTCTACCTAGAAAGGACTTGATTAATCTATTTCACGGTTTAGTAATTATCAGCTGTTTCTCGTATTCCTCTTAACATTCTGATCACAAAATTGTGTAATTTGCATATCACTTAAGGCGAGAGTTTTCAGCCTGAGATACTCAATGACCCCAGTCATCCGTTCGATTTGCCGTTTGCCGTTTCCACGATACAACTCGATCCAATTTTCGCTGTTTGCCCTCCCGCATAATCATTCACCGCAACTCAACGGTTCCCCCTCTGGTTCGCATTCTCATTGACACGGTGAGGGTCAGTAACGTACTAATTCTAAACTTACAAAGATGAACACCTATTTAAGTTTCTTCATTGTTGTCTATTATTTTCATTTCATTTTTTATCCCACTGTAACAGTGATCACATTTTTTGATTGAAATGTGGACACAGTCGTTTGCACAAGTCATTCATAATACAATATACAACAATAGCACAAATTGTTTTGAGGCGCACAGAGGCTTGTTTCGACGGATGCTAACTGCCTTCGCCGTGGCTCGACTGCGAAACGGCACGTGTCTAGACCGTCCCGTTTAAACTCTATTTAACAGTCGGAGTAATGCTGTCACTTTTACGATGTGATTGGTGTGGACATTTCGTGACACGACTGTACTTCTAACTGAATAATTTACTCAAATTTTCCAACCGTTTACGGTGATCCTCACGGTACTCAGACCCCGTAGGTTAGAATTCTGATACGCTACCTCCACTGGTGGAACACGAAAAGAATTGCAAATTCATTGTTCTAAAGGGCTTGGACGTGAAACAACGGTAAACGTCTCAACTTCATTCTCAATGGAAGACATTTCTTGAATAATAAAGCATCATGATGCTTTTGAACTTCTAATAATTCTGAGTAGGATTGTGTCTCCAAGAAAACGTCTATGATCAAGGATCAAGGTATCAAAAATGAACAGTTCAAACATTTTATGTTGTGTGTAATCATTTATGGGGATAATACTATAACATACATACTTGGCTAACACCTGTGATTGTCGGGGGAATAAAACAATTATGGATTTCTAAAGAAAACGTTTGTCACTGAGATGGGTATAAAATGTGATAAGATAGACAGGGATATAGGTAAACATTTTATTTATTTTATACCTATCACACATGAAAAGCATGAAACGTGTCATATTCCATGTACAGTCCTGCCTAAACCACCACAAAAGCTATGGATAGTTCACTAGTCAGCGTGTCCTTATATAATCTTTCTGTGTGGTGATTGGCGACTGTAAGGAAGTTTGTAAACACTATCCCTGGGTCTACATGCTTCCATGCTAACAGAAGTACATACACACATACACAAATACATAAAAACATATACACACAAACATACACACATACACACATACACACATACATACACTGGCGCACTTGACCACTTCTGCGGGTTACCTGTTCCACATAGGTATGACCCTGAAG